GCCGTTAGTACCAACAACAGGCTCCGTCTCCTTCAGTGAAACCAGGACTCCTGTCCCCATGGTGCTGCAGTAGAATAAACCATCTACCACATACTGTAGGGGGGTCAAGTCCTGACTGACAATCTTCACCAAGATTTCACCTTAGAGATCTGTGCAAAGACACGCATCTCCAAACCCAAAACTGTAGAAATAAACTTTTTTTTTTTTTTTTAAACTGCTGCTTTGATAGAGGAAGTAAGATGAAGAGGACCAAGTAAAGCAACGACTCACAGTGGATTAGCTAGTCCTTAGAGGGGTCTCCACAGGGTCCTGGAGAAGTTTAAATGGTGGGCTTTGCCTCAGGCATGGCCACAAAGAGGACAGGGAATCTAAACAGACTGGGTTTTAAGAGATGTGGTTGGATGAGATCACAGGGAGGAGTTTTTCATGGTGGTTTTGTTCTGCGTTTCTTTTCAGCTGCTTTAGGCCTTATAGTCTGGGTATGATCCACATCCTTCAGGTTCTACCTGCATCCACACCTCTGAGTTCCCCTCCATCCACAGACAGCAGAGCTCCAGCTCAGATGAAGCCCTTTGATGGAGCAAATCATTCCCAGATTATTAATTCAGCTCATCATTAGAGCCCAAACCTTCATGGCCCTGCTGACAGCAGAGAGAAAGCAACGCCCACTGCAGGAATTCATGGAATCTTAGTTAAGTATGTAACTTTCAGTTTGTTTTCTTATCATAAGCTTCATTGCATTTAGTGTAATGATTCACCTGTTGCTCACCTGTGTAACCAGGACACAGGTCCAACTGGTTCTCCCGCTCTATCCACTCTTTGACAGAGTTACAGTATCAGCCCTGCAGGTTCAACCCACTGAGAATGAACATCTCAATCCAGCATAACCTACTAACCCTGAACACCATCCTTATCATCATCATCATCATCATCATCTAACAGCGCAAAATGGCGCCAACAGTCATCCATATTTTCTCCCTTTGTCTCCCTGTGGTCACCATTAACTCCAGTAAATAACAAACCAGGCGCCAAGTGAAGCTCCAGCTTTTCTGTTGAGCCAATCAGATTTGATCATTGAAACCTTCCATTGCAGCCGTTAGCTCCACTCGGACGCCATCTTCACTCACCTTCAAACGCTGCAGCTTTCCAGGCAAAGAGGAGTGAAGGCCGACATGCTGGAACAGGGAGGGCTTATATCTCCGCTTCAGCATGGCCTTCTGAAGATCACAGTGTTTCTGCAGAGAAAAACCAGGTTAGCTTAGAGCAGGGGTTTTCAAAGTGTGAAAGGGTGAGCCCCCCTCCAGGGAGCACTATGCCTGCTGCCCCCCCCCATCTCATCTTTTATTTTACACTATTTGAATGAAATTTACCTCATGAACATTTTAAAATATTTCCTCCCATTTTAATTATTTTATTGGGGCCTTTGTATGGCAAATACGCCCTTTTTTCATTTTTCTAATAAGAACAATCCCAAACTCACTTTTCAACTGTTTTCTCAAACAAACGTTACATCTGAGATTCTGAGTTTAATGTTTGAGATACCAACAGTGTTTTCACATCTTAACAGAAACATTTTGATCAGATCTTCATTGAGAGCTGTGGAAATTCAGTCCCTACTGACAGCCAAAAGTGCGCAAGTGACACGTCACTCATCCTCTGTTTCCAGTCCA